TTTATAAAAAGGACTCAGTCACTCAGCGAATGACGCCTATCTCGAATGGATTCCATTCGATTGTCTTGATGATAAGGGAGATAGTGCATCTTTTATGGTGATCTACACATTCCGAAAGTGGGAATGAATGTTTTCGTAAGCTCTTACTTTCTAGAGATCCGTCCGGTCATGAATGCTTTTCGACTTGTCGATATTATTTGATCATCGTATTCTTTAGCTGCAAAAGTAGAAGCCCCGTCTGAGAATGGCCAAGATTTCCAGAATTTTGTCAGGGCGGTTGCAACCATTTTCATTGTCGAAGACCAGTTGCCATAAAATAGATGACACAGACTACTGCCGTTTGTGCATTAGAAGTTGGAATCTAGTACTTAATTAGTATTGGCATCTTTTTCTCTGATCTCTGAATCTGCTATTTAATTTATACGAATATGTGCGAAGGACGTATTGCATGTTATATCGAAATAAACATGCTCACGGAATAGTTACAGTATTCTGAAACAATAATATTGCCGATGCTCGAACAATTTGCTGTCACTATTAATCCCTTGTCTTGTCATCGTATACCGCGCGCGGTTGTTTCCAGCATATAATATCTAGTAGTTGAGAAATTAACAAATATGAAATTAAATTATCTCCTAATCAAGTATTCTAAAGTCCCCAGCCTCGGAACGTAAGGCAGAAAAAGGACATGGGTTTGGGAAATGTAATGACCAACTGCCTATTGATAAACTGCATCGTGTTCTGACGATATCTTTAATTTTTGTATTAGCTTGATTATCTAGCAAATACAGATATTAATTATTAATTGGTAATATAAACAAACCTCTTGTCTGTCTGTCTGTTTGTATTTACACGGAACTTTATACACTTCCTATAGCCATGCCATAGTTTATCTTTGTACACTCTCGACACAAAATTTGATTCCCGCGGTGCTTCAAATACTAATACTATCGTAGAGCCGAAACAGAACCCTCCTATCTCGTCACCTTTTTTAAGTGGTAGAAGTTTACTTGCATTCTCATATGATACTTCAACGTATGTGCCGATATTTACATCCTCCCTGTTATTTGTAGGTAATCCCTATCAACGAAAACTGATATCAATACGGGAAGAAAAAGATGAACAAAAGGCTGTTGAATGGTATCAAAAAGCTGCTGAACAAGAAAGTGGTATTGTACTTGCTCAATATAATTTCAGTGATGTAAGCACTATTGCACAAAACAACCTTGGTCGCTGTTATAAGCTGGGCACTGGCATGGAAACAAATTATCAAAAAGCTGTTGAATTATTTCAGAAAGTAGCTAAACAGGGCAATGCATATGGACAATATAATCTTGGTTATTCTTATGAACACGGCATTGGGGTGGGAAAAAAATGAGCAGAAAGCAATTGAGTGGTATGAAAAAGCAGCTGACCAAGGATTTGCTAAGGCAAAGAATAAGATTTATCTTTTACAATATGATGATAGGTCAAAGTTAAAAGACAAAGTTCAAGAATTAAATAAGTTGTATCAAAACAAAAAAGCAAAAGATTGATGTTCAGTGAACAGCTCATAATTTTGAGTACAGTCAATTTTGATATTGAATTATTGCATTCTGAAGGTTTATTAGTCATATCATATACTAATCACAATGGGCAAAGATGTAGTTGTTATATGAGCTATTCTTATTATTATGGGGCATAAAAATTGTGATTATAACTTTATATTAATAAAGATATGATGTATCAATTGTATAATATTTTCAGTAGGAAAATGTTCTTGATCTATTATTATAACAGTTGAAAAAATTGTTTTTTTTTATCATCGATTGTTAACCGTCAAACATAATATATTTTGATTCATCTATTTATCCAATTGACCAATAATATTCTGTATAGTTGTTTTTCATGGTTTTAATCCAAGTTAGGTTTAATTTTTACTGACGTATTTTTTCTAATTGGCTTGTTAAAGGTTTTCTTTGTTGATCGAGACGATTTTGCAACAGAATAAAGCGTACGATCGAATAATCAAAACTAGTCAACAAACCCATAAATGAAAGTATTTGTGTGACAGATTACTAAAGTATCGTAAACTTATGCTACATTTGTCAGTTATCCCGCACAATGACGACGATAACGATAGTCAAACAGACCAGAAGTCCTGTACGACCTGTTAAAATTTAAGATTACATCGACAATACCATAGTTGTTGCTGCTACAATAAATTGGTAATTTTAATATAGAAACAAATAAAATACTGTTCATTTATGGAACTTGGTAGTTGTTAGTAATGATAATTTATTTTCTAGTTTGACTACGTGTATTTTTTTATAAGTTTAATAGTTCTTATGCTTTAATACACCCTTACAATAAGGATTTTTTTAACACGTATTTCTATGGTAACTGTAATATTTATAGGCCGGTAAAAAAAAAACGCCCAGCCGCAGAAAGACTGAATACCTGGTTGCGTTCCAGAATTTTGTTTTATAACTTACATAACATAGTATACGTTACCATTAATTCTTAATAATGTACCCACAGAAAACCTGTACACTTGCAGGGTCATGCCTAAATCAAATCTTTATGCAATCTCATTTTTATCCGCGATATTTACCGGTCTGAACAATTTGACTAGCCCCCCAAATTCACATGCATCGACCGTTTACGTTAATCACTATAAACACTAAGAACATTGGCGTAATAATGGAGCGTTATTTGTATCAGTAGATACTAGTAGAGAAGAACGCAAATCACAATAGAATATGAACTGAAAAACGTCGCGGATTACTATGATGCAATCATAGACACATCAAAAGCCAAGTATCGAAACTAATATCTATTTCAATAAACAAGTACCGCATACTACCGTGAATAAGCACCCCTCGTGAATAAGCACCCCTCGTGAATAAGCACCCCTTATAAGTAAAGCCATCGGATCGTGAATAAGCACCCCCTAGGTTAACCGCATGACGTACCCCCACCCATAATTAATTACGTAAGTATACAGGCCATTTTGCAAACACAGATAATAGTACGCTTACTATTGTAAGCTACCCCTTAACGCTGTTGTGGATTATACTTTACGTAATGATTTGCCGATTTTAATAATGCCGATAAGAGTTACCGATCCTATCGTGAATAAGCACCCCTCACTATGATAAGGGTGGGTGCTTATTCACGGTAGTATACGGTATTGGAGGCAAGTTTAGACCAATTGACTAAGTTGCTTTATCTAATGACTAGTACAATTACGCATAAATCCAGTAAGTCAATTACACTTAAAGACAGCGGGCGACTAGTCTTGATTAATATCAGTCTTTAGTAACTTATAGCAATTAATTAACAATAACGTCTATCACTATTGTATATTACTAGCGTTACTACTATTGTACTTTGCCATCAATTCGGCCTTCATAATTATTAAACGTATGTGACAACAGTAATGTTACACTAGAGATAACAGACTAAAATTTCTATCCTTTCTCCGGGTATAAGTATTAGCAACAGACTTACTTTATCTGGATAATGCGTCTTTGTTGTTTGCAGAGATCCAATTAAAATACTTTTCCGAAATGTCTCGTCATAGTGCTACAGTACCCAGGTGGTCTCAATATATTACATAAAAATAGGATAACTCTTTTCCGAGAAACCAACTCTATCGATTATTAAATTAAGCTTGCTAAATGTTATCATATCGGAACTGGAGTAGAAAAAGATGGAAGAAAAGCAGTTGAATGGTACAAAAAAGCAGCTGAACAAGGTAATATCAGGGCTCAGTGTAATCTTGCTTTATGTGATAAATAAATTAACTCAATGTTGTGTTAACAAAGCGACACGTTTTGATACTCCTTAAACTGGCCATGCATTTTGTACCCGATCATAATTCTTGCTACTCAGTACTGCAGTAGCGCAATTGTTGTACCTCGGTTCGGGGCCTGGATTGTGTTTGAAACTGAGCATGAGTATGAGGTACAACGGCGGTATCACCTTTACGGCGTGTTACACAACATAATCTAGTAATAATAGTGTCTCACTCGCTCGTTGCAATAGGCCCAACATAAAGTTTGTTTCTGGCATAGTATGCAAAGTGACGTCAGAGAGAAAATATTTACTATTTAGGATAATACAAATAAACCTACGGTTATTAATAGATGCAATCGTTCAAGTTAGCAATATCACTTGATTCTACATATTTTTTAATGTATATTGCCTCTAATGTACGCCTTGCCAAAATGACCGCAAATTTTTTTGTTTTGCGGTTTGAAGAAAAAAGGTAGTAACGTGACGCCGATGAATAGACAAATTACGTCTAAAACGATATTATACGTATTAATACAAATACAGAAACCCATAACGTTTAGTTCTATTTTATTTTTAGACTTGGAGACAATAAGAATTTAAATATGTGCATGTAATGATAGATGCAAGGACTAAATTACACCAATTGATTAGTGTCTTACAATATTTAAGCGAACTTTTTTACAGTTTGTTTTTTTATGTGATGGAAGATTGTACACAATAATTGGGGACTATTTATCATTGTCGCTGTCATGTTTAGTATCCAATTACTCTTGACGATAAGCCTTTTATAACTTATCCAATAAAAAGCAAAATTTTCCCAAAGTCAAATAATGCGTACAATAAATTCTTCAAAGACTTACAAAACGCAGTTGATGCCAAGTAATAGGCTTGTAATATTTATTATTATTATATGACGTACATGCAGTTTGTTACATTAGGGGCATCTTGAGCTTACTTGAAAAGTTAAGATATACGTTATAATAATATAATTCTAAAATTATCGGGGACGTTTCATCAATTCCTAAATATGCGTTAAAAACTAACTGCGGTTGTAAACAGAAATATATATAGAGATGAAAACATTCATCATGTTACCGCATAATAAATACATATAGACGGTTTAAATTACTTTCCAGTTCATTTATCTGTTACATCTCACTAAGCGGAGGCAACGCACTTAAAACCCCACTCCTTTACTTGACACCTATTTTTTCAGCGTAATGGGTCACAAACTGCTTTCATGCTTTACATTTGCTTTACTTTTCACAGTAGCCTGCGTTGACGCACAATGGAGTGTCATTGGCAGGTAAGTTATAAATGAGATGGATAAAGATGAAAAAAAAGCGTTGAAAATGCGTGAATAATTAAGATTTTCTTTTACAGATCGGGCGTCGCTGCAATGCACGCTATGATGATGACACCGACCACAATAATAATCATTGACAAAGGTGAATGACTGAATGAATCAATTAATTTGTATAAACATTTTTAATCCGTCTAACTGTACCTCTTTACAGCTGAAAGCAACCCAGACGCAATATTACCTGACGGTACAACGACCTGGGCATCCGAATATAACCTCGCAACTAATAAATTCCGATCACTGAAATTATCCACAAACACGTTCTGCTCGGCGGGAGCATTCTTTGGCAATGGTACATTCCTTTCAGCCGCCGGTGGTGAACCAACCAATATAGCATCCAACGGTTACCGCGGCATTCGCTACTTTCAACCTTGCCAAGATAGCACCTGCCAGATTTTCGAAGTCCCGACTTTGCTGAGCAGTCCTCGATGGTATAATGCAATGGTCACAATGCCGTCCGGTGATATTCTCAACTTTATCCGTTTGTTTTTTTTCCCTCCCTTTCCTTTTCTGAACAGCCTTCCGTATAATCTTTACCCATTTATTCATGTAATTCCAAACGGCATATGGCAAGGCTACTATTTCATTTTTGCAAACAAGGCATCAGTCATATATGACATTGCAAAAAACGTACCAGTTAAAGCACTGCCTGACGCGCCCGGTGGCATTCGCTCATATCCGTGCACTGCTGGAGCGACTCTGCTTCCGCTTGATTACACAAATAATTACAATCCAGAATTCCTTGTCTGCGGAGGACAAAGCGTTTTCAACGGGTTTACCAATCCTGCTGAGAACACGTGCGCTAGAACAGACCTTGGTTCTCCAAACCCGACATGGGAAGCTGACGATTTCGGAGGCATACCCAGAGTCATGCCTGATGTCGTTCAGCTTGCGGATGGATATAATGTGTTGTTCTTGAATGGAGGACAAGTTGGACAAGCTGGATATATCACCGCTGGAGGCAATGTCCTGTCCGATAAACCTGCGTTCACACCAGTTCTTTACAATATGAACAAGCCTTTGGGACAACGATGGACTCAGCTTACTCCAACCACTATTGCTAGAATGTATCACTCGGTTGCCACTTTGATTACCGATGGCTCTGTCTGGGTGGCTGGAAGTAATGCCAATCAGAACCCCAAACTAACTGGCCCATACCCAACTGAGTAAGTAGTTTCTTTTAAGCTTTTACTTGTTATTATACATTTCGCCCATTTCTATAGTGATCTTGATATTTTACTAAATACGTCTATACGTCAATTAGATACCGTGTCGAAAATTATATTCCACCATATCTTTCGGGCAACGCACGCCCGCAGATAACTGCGTTCAATAATCAAACGACTCTCAATGCATCTCCGATACAGGTGACATACAATGAAGGCGTTTCTATAACCTATACTCTTACCGGAACTCCTGGCACAATCACAGCCACCATCGTGCAACCTGGTTTTCACACTCATTCTCAAGCAATGTCTATGAGACTCGTTCATCTCCAAATAACCGATATTGCATCATCCGGGCAAAACACTTACACTGCTAAAGTGTATATGCCTCCGAATAAATTCATCTTACCGCCTAGCCCACACTACATCTTTATTCTGAACAACGGTACCCCATGTACAAAGGCTGTATGGGTTCTTATCGGATGAGTAAAGAAAGGAACATGGCAATGTATCGTATTCATCAATTACTTAATTGGACGAAACTAGATCTTTATGTTAATTCTAATGCACGTTTATTAGTGTGCGCATTTCCAATGATTTATTAGATGTTATAGCGAATATACGGAAAAACTGAATAAAGATTGATATTTGACGGGTAATTAAATTATCCGATCCCGGTAAATTGTGTACAGATTGTCTCTGCATTAGGAAACACCCCGCGTAATGCGAACCGGTATATTTGTGTAACATTATAGTTCCCGGTCAGACTGGGGCGTGGGCATGATAATTCGATTAAAATAAATTATTTACCAGTCAGGTTCAAAATGCTGTGATCAACGATTTTTATTCTGTTACTCCTATTGCAACCCCTAATTATGCAAATTTAGCCGCATGATTCGATCGGGCCAGGTACGCCTTTTCTTTAGTTTCCCAAACATCTTTGTTTAAAGTTGGAGTAGCTTATATGTGACAAGTAAAGTAGATACTATTCTATTTCACAACTTAACAGAAAAAGTCTGTGAAAATAGCCATACGTTTTGACCTTCGGTTACACAACTCCGGCAGGATCGATATATGCAGTGAACAGTGGATGAACTGCAACTGTAATGTAACTATTGGCATGGTTACACTAGATATTAATATACGAGTACTCACGAACCAACAAGTCATTCAAGTCATGTCTCATGTATTTTGTACCAATGTTTGACAGTTATCAGACATATGATGAGACACGTTCAACCCAGCAAAAACCCCCCAAAACGTTAGTAGTAATGTTATATTATACGTTGAAAACAATCTCATAAGCAAACCTTGACCAGGCGTAACTGCTTAAGATTCTAGCTTTACTACGGAACATTAGCCGTTCTGGTGTCTAAGTAAAGTCAACGTATAGTTAATAAAGAGCGTACTGACGGAGATTTGGGTTTGCTTAATTAAGACCTGGGAACATTCTCGCCGTGATATCTACTATCACGTGTTCTACAAGAAAATTTGCATCGGTAGCGTGTCCCATGACTAATACTGTGCAATGCGTTATTCAGAAGCATATATGCTAATGGCGATACAAACTTAATCTGTGGCCACACAATAATACATATGAGATTTTCTTATGCATAGTTAAACGAGAATGAGCTTTCTTTACGGAGGAATTGAGACACGATATTTTTATTCCCATAGAGATTTTGGGGAAGGCAATCGTTTTGTGTCAGGTAATCAATAAATTATGTATGTATGCTATTCTGTAAATATTACAAGCTTTATTTTTGTTAACTAAATTGTCTATTCGTACGTCACTAAAACAATACGTACATTATATAATTATATCATCGATACAACAAATTCTATAAATTTATTCATTGTGCTTCGAATCAACAAGCAGTATCGCTAATACATAACATTGAAATAATTGCAGCGTCTGCTTTATGTCGCCTCTCGCAATGTATAGCAGCCATTATGTATAAGAATACGTAACTACCTCACTATGTTAATTCAGTTATTCGAATAGAGACGGTTTCAGATTATACCGAGCGATATTAATCAAGGCGTATAAAAATTAAGTATTAAGTAGTTGCCTGATTAATATTATTAATATTATATTTTTAACGTATAGTAAATGTCTATCTTTATCACTTGATGCCCACATGTTAATCTGAATAATGCATTTCCATTCGTTATTTGCGTGTACCATTTCCCATTTACTTTTTCAGGTAAGGCTTATAAGAATTTTATACAGACTGTTTATATTTATATGGTTATGCATATCCAATCATTTCTGCATACTGTCATACATAATAATAAAGGAGCCCACCTTTCTCGAGTATTTATAAAAAAATTACGCCGAGTATTATTTCCCAATAACATTATAGTACTTATAACATAATGTACTGAAAACGGCTGTCATACTTAGTTCAAGATTTTTTTTTTGTTTTGCCGATCCACAACGCCTCCCCTATCCTAATGTAAAATATCAGCTGGCTGGCAACATTCTTTTTTGAAAGTTTGGTTGGCTTCGTCAAGTTATTAAAATTATCGCTAAATGTCGAAGAATTGTCTCTGATGTAGTAACTATTTTGGGTAAATTACATGTGATTCGACGATCGTACTTATTATATAGACCACCACTAATTGACGATCATTTATTCAGCATTTCCGCACGTAGCATGATATCCTCTCTTCCCCCAATCTATATTTAATGATTATGCTAATAATAACTAAACACACGTTAGATCATTTTCCCAAAATAAACAATTAAACCATATTACGCAAATTTCAAGAGCATAAAAATCCAGTTCTGTGACATAAACCGAAATTTTTATTCTCACGTGCAAATTAATTATACTGTATATGACATCGATACACCAGAACAAACTAAAACTCCCTACCATACACTAATATTAATACTTCCAACTAACCATGTGCACAATTTTGAGTACGTATCCGGCGCCCCACTATACACCAACCCCATTATTATCCTTCCCATCTCCCACATTATCTGCCCCGAAAAAGCATTACAGTTATAACAATTTGTTAATGGAAACTTTCCCAAAAACTGAGAGTCTCTGGACAATAATAGCACAGAACCTAACACGCATACATCGACTGAACCAATATTAGTAACGGAAGAAAATTCAGTTGAGCAGTCAATCACATAAGAACACTACAATCAACCAAGAAGTTTTTGATATAGCGGCTACTAATTTAGACTTTGAAACATTGGGGGGTACGATCCATAGTAATACAAACATAGGGGAAGTCACAAATGAAAGTCCGTATAATGAGGTTTTTTCACCGATTATCGCCGATCATTGCCCGATATTGCAATAGTGGAAGACGTATAAACTTCAAAACCTTAAGGTTTTCAAGGACGTGGGTTATGGCCTTAAAATTTAGAGGTAGATACTCTCATGCTTGCTTTACCAGAAAATAAGGAACTTTTTTTCTTTGCTATAAGCAATTGGATAACTGTTTTTACAATATATATATAAACATAATGAAAATAAATAAAACGCCTTATTTTCTGGTAAAGTATGCATAAAAGTATCTACCGTCTAAGTTTTAAGGCCATAACCCACGTCCTTGAAAAGCCTTAAGGTTTTGAAGTTTATACGTCTTTCACTATTGCAATATTATCGGGCAATGATCGGCGATGATCGGTGAAAAAACCTCATATACGGACTTTCATATGTGACTTCCCCTATGTTTGTAAACTACCCCAGCATCACCATGAAAATTTCACGTGGGTGAAATTATATACTCACTACCAAAAAGTATTTGCCGAAATTTGTCGATTAATAGTAAAACATATGAAAAATCCACTTTTTCAAAAATCTGTATTGGCGTTATTTACTAAACAAACAACAAAAATTTTTATATTAATATGAAGCTGATTGACTGCAGTTTTCGAATAAAATCTACACAGCTTATTATACCGGAGCTGTGCTTCGGTGAAATAACGATATGTATGTTACACGTATGTAATCATATGAAAATGTACGTGTAACATATTACTGCGTACTGCAGCTTCATAATACAGTAATAATAAAAAGTTTAAATTCTTTATTATTTTTTCCCTAAAAGTATAGTCAATCAGCTTCATAACGATGTAAAAATTTTTGTTGTTTGTTTAGTAAATAACGCCAAGACAAATTTTTGAAAAATTGAATTTTTCATACGTTTTACTATTGATCAACAAATTTCGGCAAATACTTTTTGGTAGTGTGTGTAGAAGCAAAATTTAATTTATGCTAAATTTTTTGTTAAGCTTAAATTATAGATGTAGAAGTATCATGTGAACGTGAAATTTTCATGGTGAAATTATGTTTGTATTACTATGGATTTATCGTACCCCCCAAAACATGATGAGTTAGAATAAACTTCTATTCATTGATTTTGAACTTCTTTCTTAGTTCAATGTATCGCTATTTTAAACAACTTATGTATACATTGTGTTTCTACTCACAGTATAACCAAAATTTATTATGACCAGGTTTGATGTATAAGACGAATAATTAGTATACTGTAATTATTAAAAAGCATTGCAATTTCTTTTTATGGAAAACCCGAAAATTAAACAATCCAAGTTCGAGATATTCGGGCGTGGATTTCCGGCCACTTAAGAAAGACTAGAACAGCATCCGCATTATGCCATCACAAACAACCAAAAATCGCAACTTATATTATGATAATGTAGCATGCTGATAGTGGTAATCTGTTGTTCTATTTAAACAAAAATATCAACAGCCTTACATGGGGATAGGTTAATATATTAGGAATAGGTACAACTCTGTTTGCATAATCTTTACGGATTGGAGCCTTATAATAACAACCTGTTTTTTGTCATTATCAACACTATAAATTGGCTGACTTACTTATTTTTATGATTGTCTGGGTCCCATATAAATTATCAAATCCGGAATTCGTGCGCATTACATGTTCGGAAATTCTGATCTTACATTAAATTAATGTTATACATATACAGTAACAACCAATTAACAATCTCGGTAATCCTCCTAATTATCGTTGAATTTATATTTAGAATTAGTCATACAACCCAATATCAATATACTGTTAGTCAATTTTACTATCGGTGTGACCATAACTGTTATCAACGCCAGGTTCATCGGAAAGTACCATAATAAGTATTCCTCTAAACCGTTACTCTTCTCAGGATTTCAATATCCGTTCAGGATCAAACATGTATATATACGCATGAGTTGTGAATAAAATTTCGAAAAATTTTTTTTTCTATTTTATGATGAAGTATTTCATCCTGTTAATTGTTGTTGCAGTCTACGCATTAACGTTCACTCAAGGTAAAAAAAAACCAACCTTTTTTTTTCAAATTTTATCTTTTTTTTTTCCCCTACTAATTATTTGACTTTGTTTATAATAGCGGCTATACTCCACAAACGTCCTAATGATGGTGGCGGTGGCTGTGGCGGTGGTGACTGTTGTAACTGCGGTTAAAGAGTATGTATTTATATATAATGTCGTAATTATTTTCCTTTCTCCTACTAGTTTTTTGACACTCTTGTATTTGAAGACAATAACGTTGACGACAACAGCAGTGATAGAGACATCGATTATGTCAAATAAGAGTTGGCCCGTTAATGTATTACCTGATGTCAGGCAAACTTAACGAACATTTATTATGTTTGCGCAAACGACATTGTTTTCCTCTTTATACGTGGGTGGATCAAAAAGTTTTTGCGCAAACCCCTGCATTTTACAGGTCAATAGTCTGAGACAAATTGACACTAACCAAATAAAAACTAAAGTTTGATCTTCAAAACAAACCAAATTTAATTTGTTTTGAATTAGTAGTTGTCGAGATATCTTCTTTTAAACCCTACTTGTTAAAACCAGTGGCTCAATTTTCACGTAAACAATATCGCTTCTACATATTCGTCGAATGGGCAAAATGGTACAGACGTTGGCACAATTTATGAAAAATTAGCCAAAGCTTGTGGACATATAGCGCCATCATTGCGTACAGTCCAACACTGGGTTAAAAGTTTCAATGATGGGAGAGGTTGCTTAAAAGATGGGCCTCGATCTGGAAGGCCTCGCGAGGCAGTTACGCAAAAGAATGTTGAGAATGTCCGTAGTATTCTCAGTGAAGACCCTCACAAAAAAATAGAGGAGTTAGCTAATCGAACGGGAATTTCATATGGCAGTACCTAGACTTCGGTCATAAAACTTGGTTAACTTATTGCAAGCGATTCAATATTAAAACTATTAAGTAAAACGTTCGTAATGAGTACGTTAGTTATGAATAAGAGTTAATGATGTTGTGTTAATATTATTATTTGTATCAATACGGAGCGAGTCTTTCCGTCGGCTCGTAGTGTAGTGGTTTCACTATACCATTTTGCATAAAGAATTGGAGCTACGTAAAGTCACCACCAAATGGGTTGCTGCATCACGACAATGCAGCGCCTCATCGCACGTTTAAGGTTATTGACTTTTTGAGGCAAGAGCGAATAAGATTACTGCCTCATCCGCCATATAGCCCAGACCTGGCTCCATGCGACTTTTTTTTATTCCCAAAAATTAAGAAAGCACCTGCAGTAAAAAAATATAATAGTATTGTGAATCTATCTCGAGCCGTTCAGGCAATTGTTGATAGTATTCCACAAGAGGAATACCATAAGTCTTTTGAAAATTGGCGTAAAAGGTTGCAAAAATGTATAGATGTTAAAGGAGACTATTTTGAAGGATTAGCATAATTAGTTTTAAATTTATTATGTAGTATTTCAAATAAAGCCAAACTGCAAAAACTTTTTGATTCACCCAGGTAATAATTTGCTTTAACGAGAGGTTTAGGTGATAAAAATAAATAAAAATATTTCCCAATTTTCAATACGACTTTCTCCATTCGTGCATAACAGTAAGCATATTATTTCTCTATTTGCTCCACAAGTACATTGACTTGCTCGCGTCGTTCATAAACTCAATCCGCTTGTGGCGCTGATAATAGCGATAGTTATGGTACTTAATTTATAACACCATGCTGTGTGACGCTTTCGCCTACCAGAGTCCACTTGAGATCGAATCTTGGATGGTCTCCAACCGGACCAAGCATAGTCCGATCCACCTTTTTAGGAAAGTAATAGAATTCCTCGATCCTACAGTCATCTTAGAAGTGTAAGCTATAGTTATACACAATTGTTGTAAATTATCCCACAGAACTGCAGTCTCATAGGATAATTGGATTACACCAGCACCTTTAGCGTTCAATTGTAGATGCAAACATAAAAAAACGCAAACCTCACTAGATTACAATCTTAATTTAATTATCAGTGCGTGAATTTAACAGTTGTCTAGCAAATATATTTAAGTCATTAACCATTAAACAATTTTTTGCATGTGCTCGTTTAGGCTATTCTTACAGACAACTATCCAACTAATTTTTAAACGTTTTGTATAATTGTGAGCTTTACAATCATAGCATTACCGGTAAAAGTACCGATAATGTCGATTTTTCAACATTTGACATATTAATATTCGTTAATATTAATAATTATTTTCTGATTGAGCTATAATAGTCTGTATGGTTGTTTTTTATGCACAATGTTTAGCTAATATCAAGTTTAAAAATTGACCCGAACGTAATATAATAAAAAGAAGACCTTTTAGTCGAAGCTTTTGAGATTAAAATTGCAATGGAAAGCTTAAAACTATTAAAATATAGTCAGTAATATTGTTGATATTTGGGGTCGCTTTTTTTTAATTTCGGGTCATATTATGCTACAGATTGAAACCAACTACCCCAGGATCACCATCAAAAAATTTACGGACACATGACTGCAGTGGGTGAAATTATAGAAACAAAATTTAATTTATACTAAATTTATGTTAAACTCAAATCTTACAGTAGTTTCATAGTCCAGAAGTCATGTGTGTACTGCGCCTGTGAACGAACTCAAGTTCACAATAAATATTGCAATGCTGAATCGATTGCGTAACACAAATTAGAAGGCGGACACAATACAACAATTGTTCCATAACGTGATATGCAAAGAAGCGTATAAAAGAGATTTTCCCTTTGTCCTTTATCTCTAACAAAAGCATGGTGGGTTCCCGATCTATTTTGCTAAGTGTGCTGGACCTGGCACCTGTAGTTGATTCGGCGCTTCAATACAAGGAGTATCACATGTTTGTGTAAGTAAAACGTATATACAGGGCTGAGTTGGGCGGCGCAGAGCTAGATCGCGACTCTTTTGTTATCATTCTCATACTCGACAACATGGACCAACTTACCTTGAACGACGTTCCTGATTTGTTTTTCGCTTCATATGTAAAGAAGAACAGAAATGCTACGGATGAAGAGATTATTAAGGCATATTTAGAGCAAGGTAAGCAAGCGCGTTTATTGGGAGGATAGAGGAGCAACGGCCGTACGGCGCCGTATGGCGGGCAGAGCTGCGTCGTAGAGACGTTACGGGGTTCGTAGCGGTAATGGAGGCGGTACCGCAGAGAATAGTTGGAATGCATTACGAGTAGAGCAGAGTCGTAGCAAAGGCTGGGTTATACGTAAACTCTGAACTCGAAAGGAAAGAGACATATGGGTTGAATGGAGGGAGAGGCGAAGAGAGAATAGTTGGTACTTCGAATGTTACTGTCGCATACATTCTATGTTTGGTATCACGTTTATTGAGAGCACGGTCGAATGCTGTTGCAATGTCAGAATAGAGAACAAGACTTTGAACGATCTGTCCATTCCATGACAATGCTTTTTTTCGGGACCTTTAGTAACGTAATTTTTTTTCTCTTTCTTCTATGGTTATGTTGAAAGGGGCTGAGCGTCAGGCAAAGAAGGCTCGTACAGGTGATGCTGAGAGCGAAAGCGAAAAGGCTTTAGTCGCAGACGCGTTCAAATACGAGTTTGTGAACAGTCAAAATTACGTTGACAACTTTTACAGACATATCAACTTTTGTTTGTCGAAGTGCCGCGAGGACAGTAGCTACTCTCCATATATTGCACTAATTCAGAGCTCCGGCTATGGGAAGTCCCGCCTCATCGCAGAGATTGCACAAGATGTCTATGTTTTATATGTATGCTTTCGGCCGTCAAAGAGCACAGGCTATCCTCCTCGGTCAAGCATCGCGTCCAAGATTCTAGAGGAGATGCCGCACCAACAAATTAGCTGGTTTGAGACGTTTTTGGAATGCATGTTTGCCGTACTTGGTCGTATGATTCAGGGTGGTCTGACGCCTTCCGAATGTTGGGAAATGCAGATGGATTCTAGCAAAGAGAAAAAGTTCTGGACTGACGTTACCACTGACTTACAACACGCGCTCGAGGCAAGCTCCCCGACGATGGAGAGTCTTCCCGAGCAACTATATGAAACTAATGTACCATTCAAATTTATGCTGTGTCTAGATGAGGCACGCATCCTGACCATGACAATTCACGAAGCAAAGGAACGATCTCTATTCAGGATCATTCGACGTGCTTTGCAAGATATCAGATGGAAGAACTTTATGTGCGTCATGTTAGATATGGCTGGTTCTCTGTCCAATTTCGCACCAACTGAGGAACATGATCCTTCCCTGCGGCTCCCAACTGTCAAGCCACTTAAGTTGCTTCCGCCATTCATTGATGTTTCAACAATGGATGCATTGTTCACGGGGCAAGTGAAGAATTCAACTGACAGGTTTTTCCTAGGTTGTGCCTTGTGGACTGCATTGCTTAAGTCTGGCTTGTCAATTGAAAAGGCAGTTGAAACTGCACAAAGAAAACTACTTGGAGGCACTGTGAGCACCAATTTACAGAATATTCTTTCTACTGCTAAAACGGATGAACAGTTGGCCATGGCTATCGCTATTATGTCTGTACTAATTTCTGTGGATATCTCACCACAACCGCACTTATCACATCTGCTAGTGAGTAGCTACATGGCTACCTGTATCTCCATCAAAGAGGACCGAAGCCAAATGCTTGTGATGTATCCATCTGAGCCTATTCTCACTGAAGCAGCTTTTTGGCTTGTGGATGATGATGCGACACTAGTGAAGGTCCTTCAGCTGTTTGCAGCATCATTTCAATGTGGATTTGTTGATGCTGGCCACCGTGGCGAACTTGTTGCAAGGCTTATCCTAATCATCGCATGGCGGAAATGCGTACAAAAGAACTGGGGTAAAGATGGACTTTACACAAGAGAAATATCTCTCAAGGAATTCTTGTCCACCTTGTTTGGTGATCTTGATTCCTTAGTCACAACAAACGATTCTTGGAAAGGGTTGAAACTGGATAGACTATTACTGGAATCCGTTCTATGCTTTACCCATTTCATACAGGTAGAATACACTCCGGACAGTGGATTGCTTGAACAACTATTCAGAAGGGGTGCAGCCGCAATCCTGAAGTTCAACCAACCTGGTGTCGACCTCCTCATCCCACTCAAACTACCGGATGATCAATTCATGTATGTTACGATATCAGTAAAGAACAGGGATGTTTCATGGGGAGGTGCTGACTACACCAAAGACTCAACCTATAAGATGAAGCCGCAATATATATTTAGAAGAACGGATCTTGCAACGCCGCCATCACTCCCGCACCTATGTTTTTATTGGTCCCTGCGCGACAAGAGGGAAGGACTTCATCGACCCGAGTGGATGAAGCAGGATGAGTCTGACCGACACTTAGCTGTCTTCTCAATGGCACCGTTTGTCTGTCTTTCTCCTGAGATTAGAAAAGAGCTGGATGCGATACTAAAAGCATATGTTAATCCATTTGACATCCTGTGGAACAGTAAGACAGTTATGGACAGAACGGCAATAGTGAAAAGTTTCATTCCCCTGCGTTATTCATTGGACAATTGAAGTATATGTTTTTATTACGTTGCTATTTATCATTACTCTAATTGGAGTGGGAATTCGTTGCATCAAGTCTCTGAGACATTAGATGATAATTTCCTAATCATGCAATAGTCTTAGACTTGTTTCCAGTTCAGGTCGTTCGCCACGGGCAATTTCATAGCACGTATAGCGTAAAGAAAAGTAACGGCGGTCAGAAATTTCGTGAATAAACAAAAGTACGCGTTATCGTTTGTCAATCCGTTGGTCTTTCTTAATATTAATTATATTCATGCAAATTCACTTATATACGCAAAAGCCACATACTGAGACTCTGTCGTTCCCGTTTCATGTAACGATCACGGTCGCCAGGTCACATGTAATGATACTAAAATTCCAAATACTTGGCCTAAGTGTGAAAAAAATTAGTGTGAATATCTAAGTGACCACTCTCACGATATCGATACATGTTCGAAATAGATTTTCTGCTTATACGTATTAAATAAAGAATTAAAGTTTGAATACTGAATCGAAATCTTACTATTATACAGCGTTACAAAAGTCTTCAAACACGTATACTTAGCGGCATAGCTTCAATCATCAATGACAATGACAATGTCAATGTTCCCTTATGGACGTAATTAAATTAATCATATAAGTCCCAAACCAACGTATCGTGTATTGCCCGAAAACTTTCAAACGAAAATTGAATCTTCATATAGGTATATACGTATAGGACTAAAAACGCTAGAAAATATTCATTGAATAAGATATTATAAATGGATTTAAATAGGCGTATTTATGGCTCCTGTACTCCTGAAGAATGGGCTGAATATTGCTGGATGCCACAAGT